CATTCACTATGGCTTCTTTATCTTCAGGGGAAGGCAAAAGAACTGTTTCTTCAGGTCTGATCTGGGACCACTGACCCACCAATGAAAGGCATTTAGAAGATAAGATACTCGGGGATTCCAAATACTCCCAAAGAAATATGCATCCAGAAAGTGTTACAAGCAGAATTCTTTTCCCATTTCCAGATACATACAAGTACAGTCTCAAAGAGCATGCTAAAAAAAAAAAAAAAAAAAAGAAAGAAAATCAACTTCTGAAGCCTGAATTCCCCCTAAGAAGGTATATAACTTACCAATACTTTGAATAAGAAACACAAATGATATTACATTCAGGATGTCAAAACTAAGAAACTAGCAATACAAATATAAACAATATCATTTATTATTATTACTTATTACATGCTATCAATAATCCACTGTTATCACAGAAATGTTAAGCATGAGAACTTTTCATCTTCAAGCTGAATCTAGCTATCACAGTTGAATATACCACAAATTAAAAAAATATATATATATACACACACACAGAAGTACATAGGCAGACATACACACACATACGCAGTTTCAAAGCAATAATGGAAAAATGCTGTATCATCATTTCTCCTATTTCTCCTGGTTAAACCAATTTAAACAAATAAGAAATTCTTACCCGTTGTAGCTTTAATCACTTCCTTAGGTTTTTCAGCTACTTGTATGGTTTTCAAACAATCTTGATCTTTGTTCCAAATGAAAAGTTCCCCTGTAGCAAGAACCCCAGCCAGCCAGGCATCTATTTCCAGAAATAAAATACAACTTTTATGATCTAATACTTCCATTAATATTACCCTAAATTATTAAAAATTAGTTAGCCTAGCCTTTTGAAAATATCTGTGTTACTTAACTGTTACTGGATGTTGTGAGGACAATAACATCCTTCAACAAAGGCTGCAGACTAGGAATTTTCTTCTTTGTCCTTCCTGATAGCAAATTAATTTCATTTATGAATTTATTATCCAAAAGAAAAACACCTTCATTTTCCTAAGAGAAGAAAAAGAAATGTGATAGACTTCAAAGAAATCCCAGAAGTTAATTCAACCTCGTCTAAATAAATTATTCTAGAAAGGAAAACAATATAATATTTTAAAAAGATTATACATTTGTACCACAAAGCATAAAATATTAAGGCTGATACCGTACAGTATCCTGAAGATCGTTCATTCTGTTTTAAATATCTCTTTTTAGAATTACCAGGTAAAATTATCTAATTTTTTAAAAGATTTTATTTATTTATTTGACAGGTAGAGTTACAGACAGAGAGAGAGAGAGAGAGAGAGAAAGGTCTTCCTTCCATTGGTTCACTCCCCAATTGGCCGCAACGGCCAGAGCTGCGCTGATCCGAAGCCAGGAGCCAAGTGCTTCCTCCTGGTCTCCCATGCGGGTGCAGGAGCCCAAGCACTTGGGCCATCCTCCACTGCCCTCCCGGGCACAGCAGAGAGCTGGACTGGAAGAGGAGCAACCGGGACTAGAACCCAGTGCCCATATGGGATGCCGGCACTGCAGGCAGAGGATTAACCCAGTGCGCCACGGCACTGGCCCCAATCTAATGGTCCGAGTCTCGAATGCTCCACTTCTGATCCAGCTCCTGCCACATTTGCCAGAGAAAGCAGTGGAGGATGGCCCAAGTGCTTGGGCCCCTGCACCCAATGTCGGAGACCCCAAAGAAGCTCCTGGTTCTTGGCTTCGGATCCACCCAGCTCTGGCCGCAGTGGCCATTTGGGGAGTTGCGGTAGAGCCCTTTGTCTTTTAATTAAACTTCTAACTGACATGACTAAAGTGGTAGAAGCCTTTCCAAAGTCAGAAAAATGGAGGAATCTGTCCTGGGAATTAAACGTGGTTGTTCCCTGCTTGTACAGGTATGTTCAATTGTAGTTACTATCTGCTCATATGTAACCATTTCCGGTTCTGCTTGCTAGTACAGAGCAAGAGTGTTAACCCTTGCCAGTAACTATGTACAAATGCACAGTATTGTATCCATGCCTGTGGCCACTATGTAACATTAGAATGTTCAATCAAATGTAACCATGTAACCATATAAGGGAGATTATAGAGGTTAAAACCATATCTAAGGAAATAGCTCTCTTTGTCCTGGGCTCAGGATGTTGGATAAGAAATTATACATATGATATAATGTAGGAGGTTAAGCCTCCACCTGCGGCACCAGCATCTCATATGGGCTGTCTGTGGCTTGATCTCTCTTTGACTTTAACAATACTACAAGGCAAGTTTTTAAACTATTTACTTTGTAGCAGGGATTTGGCACAGCTCTTAAACTACCACTTAAGATGCCACATCCCTACCAAAATGCCTGGGTTCAGGTCCCAACTCTGCTCGATTCCAACTTCCTGCTAATGAGTACCCTGGGAGGCGATACAAGTGCTTGGATCTCCAACAACCACGTGGAAGACCTGGACTGAGTTCCAGCCTCCCAGCTTCAGCTCACCACAGCCCTTGCTACGGCAGGCATTTGAGAAGCGAACAAGCAGATGGGAAATATTTCTATCTTCCTGCTTTTCAAATATATAAAAATTTTAAAAAGAAATTCAAATTATTCAAGTGTTTGGTGCGCTGGTTAAGATGCTGCTTGGGATGCCCACATTCCAAATCAGAGGGCCTGTATTTAAGTCCTGGAACTCCGCCCAATTCCAGCTTCCTAATATTGTGCACCCCGGGAAGCAGTGTGGGGAGCAGCTCGGACTAGACTAAGTTACTGGAATTAAGACTTATTCTATGCATCTGCTCTCCTCTGTGGGGAGCAGCTCGGACTAGACTAAGTTACTGGAATTAAGACTTATTCTATGCATCTGCTCTCCTACAATATGGCGCTGGGAGAGGAGAAAACAGCTTCTACCCAGCTGCCTCCAGTTCAACCAATAAACTGTAGAACTTGCTCCTGATTGGAGAGCAGCGTACTCGGCGTGTGGGCAGCCGAGTTAGGATTGGCGGAGGAGGACTATAAAGGAGGAGAGAGACGGCATGCACCAGGAACATCTAAGGGGAACATCTAGCTGAAGGAACACCCGTGCAGCCCCCGAGAAGAGCCGGCCGGCGGTGTGCCGCTCCCCTGCGGAAGTGGGGAATGTGGCCAGGGGGAACTGCCCTTCCACGGAGGTGGAAGGGATAGTAGCCAACCCGGGAAGAACCAGCAGCAAACCCGGGGAGGGCCGAGCAGACGAAAGAACAGCGCAGGGTCCTGTGTCGTTCCTCCACGAAGAGGGGGAGCGACAAGCAGCAGGTGATAGCTTCAATAGTTGGGTCCCTGCCACCCACACGTGACACTTCGATTGAGTTCCCAGCTCTTGGCTTTGGCCTGGCCCTGCCCTAGCTATTGCAAGCAATCAAGGAGTGAAGCAGTAGAGAGGAGATCTCTTGTGTCTGTCTGCCTCTTTCTCTCTCTGGCTTTCAAATAAAATGAACTAATTTCTTTTTACAAATAAAAATTATCCAGAGGCTGGCATTGTGGTTTAGTGGGTTAACCCACCATATGCAATAGCAGCTCCCAATATGGGCACCAATTTGAGTTCTGGCTGCTCCACTTTCAATCCAGCTCCCTGATAACACACCTGGGAATGTGGCAGAGGATGGTCCAAGTACTTGGGCCCCTCCACCTACATGGGAGATGGGGAAGAAGCTACTGTATTTGGCCTGGCCCCAGCCCAGGCCATTGCAGCCATTTGGAGAGTGAACCAGGGGATGAAATATTTATTTATCTCTTCCTCTGTATAACTCTGCCCTTCAAATAAATATCTTTTTTTTAAGATTTATTTATTTATTTGAAAGTCAGAGTTACACAGAGAGAGGAGAGGCAGAAGAAGAGGTCTTCCACCCGATGGTTCACTCCCCAATCAGCAGCTACAGCAGGAGCTGCGCCGATCTGAAGCCAGGAGTTTCTTCTGGGTCTCCCATGCGGGTGCAGGAGCCCAAGTACATGGGCCATCTTCTGCTTTCCCAGGTCATAACAGAGAGCTGGATTGGAAGTAGAGCAGCTGGGTCTCGAACCAGCGCCCATATGGGATGCCAGCACTGCAGGCTAGGGTGTTAACCCACTGTGCCACAACGCCAGCCCCAAAAATAAATAAATCTTTAAAAAGCAAAAACTTCATCCCATACCTACTAAACTGAAAATTTTGGGAGCAGGACCCAGCTGTCTTTTAAAAACCTCTCCAAGTGATTCTGATGCAACTTATGTTGAGAACACCTTTTCCAGGGGAAGTTAGCTGATGGTGTAATTTCTCACAGGAAATTAGATGAACACAATAATCATTATAAATTATAAGAGGATTTCCTACTTTCCTTCAGGTAAGGAATCCCCATACCCGGATTATTCACACACTGTGGTGCATTTCATCTCTCCCAGTTACCAGGGTACTTTACAACACACTCAGGAAAGCCACAAAAGGAGGAACAACGACTATTCCAGTAGGGCAAAGTTCAGATTAAATATTCCCTCTTGATAGATGCCATCCAACCTACTTAAACATGAAAAACAAATTTTTTGGGAAAGCAAAAGCATTCTTCCAGACAGACCACTTAACATTCTGGAAAGGCTAACTTGCTCAGTATAATCAAAACAAAACCCTGCTCAGTGGACCAGGGATCCTTCTAGAGATAATGCTTTATTTCCTTAAAACCATAGAACATTCCTGCATCTTACAGGCAAGCACACATTTAACATAAATTAAACTGGTATTGTCTGAAAACAGAAAAACATACCTGTCCCAACCAGGAGACTCGTGGCCAAGGCTTTTTCTGCTTGATACTTGTTGATATCAAAACTTCTAATTTTATCTCCATACTTGTTGTCAGTAGGGTAAAAACACTCACATGATGCTGTAAATGAACAATCATCAATAGCCCACATTCAGTTAGCTGACTATCTTAACTTAGAACTTTCATAACATTTGACAAATTACTTTTTCAACAGCTCGACTTCTTTTTTAAAGACACTGACAATGCATTCAACACCTCATTCTGAACAGGCCAAGCACATTTGCATTCTTGTGAAGTTGCTTCTTAGAAGATGAAAGCAAACATGAAGTAGGAAAGGATCTGGACAGGGTGTCCTTGTAGTTTCTCAGTGTGGCAGACTGCACTGCCCAAAGATGGTCACAATACCTCCCATCAAACACTCTTACTGTGACTTTGGTACTTCTCCCATTGAGTGTTGTGCCCTATGCCTCCTCTCACAAAATTAAGAAGATGTCTGTGGCAATCTTGATTGACAGGGTGTAACAGAGCTGATGCCCTGCATTTTCCAAGGCTAAGTCCTACAAGGTAACACAGCTTGCTCCCTGGAATAACTCACAAAGCCTTCGCGCACTCTGCAAACATTCAAACCACCCTGTTCCCAGAAGTGCTCCTATTAAGCAGCAGCTCTGCGGTGGGCCTCTGGGCAGCACCAGTTAAGATGCTGCTTGAGATACCTCAAATCCTATCAGGGTGCCTGGGTCCGATTCAAGCTTCCTGCTAATACACCTTTGGGTTTGCAGCCTATGAGGGAAACTGGGGCTCAATTTCAGGCTCCTGGTTTCAGACTGGCCCAGCCCCAACTGTTGCAGGCACTTAGGAAGTGAACCAGCAGCTGAAAGATCCTTTTTTTTTTTTTTTAATCTGACAGAGTTATAGACAGTGAGAGAGACAGAGAGAAAGGTCTTCCTTCTGTTGGTTCACTCCCCAGTGGCTGCTATGGCTGGCGCTGCGCCAATCCAAAGCCAGGAGCCAGGAGCTTCTTCCTGGTCTCCCATGCGGGTGCAGACGCCCAAACACCTGGGCCATCATCCACTGCCTTCCTGGGCCACAGCAGAGAGCTGGACTGGAAGAGGAGCAGCTGGGACTAGAACCCGGCACCCATATGGGATGCTGGCGCCACAGGTGGAGGATTAACCAAGCAAGCCACGGCGCCGGCCCCTGAAAGATTCCTTTCTATCTGCTTTTCAAATAAATAAGTTTTTTATGATCATGGAAGTATGGATATAAAAGATAAATTTATTGTGATAAAAAACTTTTTAAACACTTGATAGTTTTTAGTAACAGTTATGAACTTTTTGAGGATCCCTCAAAAGCACAGATCTCAAAAATACTCTGCACTAAAACAAAGTTACAATTCCCTTTGGCCTAATTCCACTGTGGACATTCAGCACAGCAGTGAAGCCCTGGCACGGGACACCCACCTCCTATATAACAGTACTTGGGTTCCCCATCTTGCTCAACTTCCGATTTTCGCTTCCTCCTCTGGCACACTCTGGGAGACGGCAGGTACTTGGGATCCCGCTTCCCACATGAGACACCGAGATTGAGTTCCAAGGCTCTGGTCTTCAGCCTGGTCCTGCCCCAGCTGTTGTGGGCATTTAGGGAGTGACCCAGCAGATGGGAGCTCTCTCTGCCTAACAAGTTAAATCGTAAAATAAAAGACCACATAGGCATACTTAAATATAACCGGTTTTTAAAGATTTACCTGTTTGAAAGGCAGCATTACTGAGACAGAGAAGCAAACACAAAAGAGAGACGGAGAATCTCTCATCCTTGGGTTCAATCCCCAGATGGCCACAAGGGTCAGGCGGAAGCCAGGAGCTTCATCTGGGCCTCCCACATGGGTGGAGGGGCCCAAGCATTCCAGCCATCTTCCGCTGCTTTTCCAGGCGCACTAGCAGGGAGCTGGATGGAAGTGGAGCAGCTGGGACTCCAAGGGGCATCCGCACCCAGACGGGATGCCTGGGCAACAGGTAGCAGCTCTACTGGCTAGACTGGACTCAAATACAACTTTCATAATTAAAATGTAACAAGCCTATCACTTCATCCTTTCATCTTTCAGTAGCCTAAAAACCGTGTCTCTTATGAAGCAAAGTTTATTTCTGCTACAGACTCAAGTGCCTCTCGAAACACTAAAGCTACTGATGGATAATAAACATCCAGAAACAAGTAAAATTAGTTAATGGAACGGGGGAAAACTCAATGACGCTTAAGGAATGCTAGGAAGAGTAAAAGAATACATCACACAGAGGAAATAAAAAAATACAATTTTGGGGGGAAACTCAGTTTCAAAAGAGTAATTCAAGTTCTGCGGTTGTCGCCTAATAAATCGCGCCCATTCCTTAGAGCTCGACTGATGACCAATGAGGGTCGCCCTCAGGGGCTTCCTGGAGACAAGCTCGCCGGTGTCATCCCTAGGGACCCGTGGGGGGGTGACCCGGCCCCTGCGGGGGGAGGCTAGGCAGCCCGCTGGGCTCTGGGGCACCCTGGAGCGCGGCGGAACTGGCCCCCGGGCACGCCTGCCCGAGGGCGACCCCTCGGGGCTCCGAGGCTCGGTCGGTCTGCAGGGGCGGCGGCGGCGCACAGCTCCCAGGAGACTACGGATGGGCAGGGCGCGGCGGACGGCGCGGGAAGAGGGAGGCTGCGGACAAGCACGGCAGAAGGCCGTATCGGGGAACAGAGGCTGCTCAGGACCGGACGGCGTGGGGAGGAGGCCAGGAGCACCGGGGACAGAAACCTGCGGGCAGTTACCTCCTCAGGCGCCAAGTCCGCCCCACGCCCGGAAACCGCGGCAAGCAGACGGGTGAGCCACGGAGCCCGGCGCCCCGACGCGAGCCTGCGCCCTGACGACCGCGGAGGGCGGGGAGCAGCGCCGACGCCGCTAGGGCGCCTGCGCAGGGCGGCCGGAAGCGCGGGCGGGAAGCTAGCGCGCCGCTGTTCCCGCCTCCCTCCGGTACCCTGGCGTTCCCGGAGCCCCGCGCCGGGCCCGCCTCAAGTGTTCGCCAGGCTCAGCAGGGAGCCGTGTAATGGGTACTGCACGGAGAGTCACTTCCCTGGCAGAGTGACCTACTCTTGATTCTCACTCTGCCTCCTCTTCTCACGTCTTTGTTGCTGCCCCGGCTTTGGAAGGCATTGCCTTTACCTGTCGCTAGGCCAACCATGTAAATTGTCCTGCCCTCTCCATGGTAGTTCTGTTTTGTTGGTTTATCCTAGCAAACCAGGTAGATCTTCTTGCTACATCAGCTGTGCGCAGTGCGATGAAGGGGCAGCTGGGACACCAGCTTCTCAGCGCCATTTATCTCAGATTACAGAATTGATGTGGTTCATGTCCCAACCGAAATCATCAACTAGTGTGCGAAGCAGAAAAATTTAGAAGAAATCTCAACTTTCCCCCACAATTCTGGGTTCCCATTTCTAAATCTTAAGATGTGGAAGTAATGAAATACCTGTTAGGGGGAAGGGACCCCCCACTGTACATTCAGCTAAGGTTTTTGATTCAGCTAAGGTTTTTGTTTTTTACCCCACTCTGAGGCCTCCTTTACAGGGACTCCATACCTGACTGTCTCGGAGACTTCATCAAAACTTAGCATCCCGTTTTAACCATATCCTATACCCCCCTCCTCCTTTTTTTTTTTTTTTTTAAGATTTGTTTTGTTTATTTTTTGAAAGTTACAGAGAAAGGTGGAGCCAGAAAGACAGGTCTTCCATGCACTGGTTCACCCCCAAGTTGGCCACAACAGCTGGAGCTGCGCCGATCCAAAGCCAGGAGCCAGGAGGTTCTTCCGGGTCTCCCATGTGGGTGCAGGGGCCCAAGGACTTGGGCCATCTTCTACTGCTATCCGAGGCCATAGCAGAGAGCTGGATCGGAAGTAGAGCAGCCAAAACTCAAACCGGTACCCATATAGGTTGCCAGCACTATAGACCTGCTATGTCACAGCACCGGCCCCATATCCTATCTCTTTTGAAAGTTTTCTGCCTGGCTGTTGCATGCAACCACAGGACCTGCCAGATACAACTGCTAGCTTGAGCTTGAGCTCATCAAACCCAAAAATATAAATTAAACAACACAAAAAACCTCCCTCTGAGCCTTCTGCAGCTGCTGTGTCGTGAGGCACAGCCCCTCCTCTGTGAAATAAACTTTGCCACTTAATTATTGCTAACCAGTCTTGGCTGTCCCACATACCTTGGCCTGCTGAATAGCTGCTCATTTTGTGGCATGTGGCCATCAGAGTAAGAATAGTCTGTGTAATTCTGGAGTTGGCTGCTCCCTAACTTTAGTCTTTAAAAATGCAGTGGGGTGAAAGGCTGGTGCTGTGGCATAGTACAACCACACGGGAGACCCAGATGAAACTCCTGGCTCCCAGCTTCCAACCAGCCCATGAGCTGGGCTTTGGCAGCCATTTGGGGATTGAACCTACAGATATAAGATTTCTATGTCCTCTCTATCTGTAACTCTGACTTTCAAATACATAAATAAGTCCTTAAAAATAAAAAAATTTTTAAAAGTGGGAGGGTGAACAGTTAGCAGTCAGGCTAACCCCCTGCATGGGCAGTCTCTCAGCCAAGTACAAGATCACCCACATAGAACCAATCCTTTCATACAAGTACCTTATGAGGGCATGCCCACCACAATGTCCTAAGGACCTCCTAGCAAACTCACCATTGGGACACCAAAATTGGATTAAGTTTCCACTCTCATGGGAGCATCATTTTGATTTTGGGATTTACTCTGCATGACCTCTGGAGTCAAACCCTATTCAAACCATAAGAGTGACTAAAATTTGCTAAAATAAAAATTATTGAACACCTCTAAAGTGTGAGTGATATGTCATAGTGATGCTAAGCATAAAAAGAGGAAGACAGTTTTGTCCCCATTCAAAAGATTCATGGGACGAGTGTTTGGCTTAGCAGTAAGGAGACTGGAACGTCTACTGCATCCCATATCAGTACCTGTGAGTGAGTCTCGGCTCTTCTCCCAATTCCAGTTTCCTGCTAATGTACAACCTGGGAGACAGCAGATGAAGGTTCAATTACTTGAGTCTCCACTCCCTTGTGGGAGATCTACCTGGAGTTCCCAGCTCCTAGCTTTGGCCTGGCCCAGTCCCAGCTGTTATGGGCATTTGGGAAGTGAAACAGGGGGTGGAGAGATCTCTGCCTCTGCTGTATGCCTTTCGAAAATGAATTCAGGGCTGGCGCCACAGCTCACTAGGCTAATCCTCTGCCTTGCAGCGCCAGCACACTGGGTTCTAGTCCCGGTCGGGGCACCGGATTCTGTCCCGGTTGCCCCTCTTCCAGGCCAGCTCTCTGCTGTGGCCAGGGAGTGCAGTGGAGGATGGCCCAAGTCCTTGGGCTCTGCACCCCATGGGAGACCAGGATAAGTACCTGGCTCCTGCCATCGGATCGGCGCGGTGCGCCGGCTGCGGCGACCATTGGAGAGTGAACCAAAAAACGGCAAAAGGAAGACCTTTCTGTCTGTCTCTCTCTCTCTCACTGTCCACTCTGCCTGTCAAAAAAAAAAATGAATTCAAATAGATTCATGGACATTTATATTACAGTTCAATCATCAATGCCCAGACTGCAATATTCTCTGGTGCAACTTCTCTCTCTGGGATATAGGGAGATAAGAAACATCTCAAGTAGGCTTTAAAGAAGAGGAGTAGTTAAATTGGAAGCACATCCATCTGGTGATACCTGTAGCCTTCCAGGTGGAGCCATCTATTAAGTTCATTAGACTTATAGATGAGAAGCCCAATGTGAAAGCCGAGCATCAACCTCCTCTTCACCTGCTCTGTGCTTTTTAAGGCCACCTGTCTTTAACATACAATGAAGATTTTCTTAACAACATGAGTAGATTCTGAGAAATGCATTGTTATGTGACTTTTATAAATTCTGAGAAATGCAATTAGGTGATTTCATTGTGGTGTGAACATCACAGTGTACGTACAAGAACTTAGGTGGTGTCAATCATTTGCCCCATAAGGCTCCTTGATAAAAATCAAGAGACAGTAAAGGAGAGGTCTGAGGCTACAACCAGCTTAACAGGGCATAGCATTTTCCAGCAAACCCAGTTGTTTGTAAGTAGAAGGAATACCCACTAGACTAATAAGTATAGTAAACACATAAGCCAGCAACATAGTGATTTATCAAGGTTTGTGTACTGTAGGTATTTGTGTTAGCATTTCCTTCAAGTAGTAGTAACATTCTAGTTAGAACAGGCCACAAGAGAAGTTCTTATTGGAAATTCGAAGGTCAGAAGTGAAGCAGCAGCGGTTTTACAACTCACACGTGCAGCCATATAGATGGCCCCTGTACACTAGCCTTCCTTGTTGCTGTGAGACAGCGGTAGGATTTGCAGCTGCACCTACTTCCCTCTGATTCTCTTTCAGAGTCTCCAACTCCTGGCAGGTGTAAATATTTAGCTCCATGAGAAAGACGCTAAGCTTCTGCAGGACAGCAATACCACCAAGGGCAGAAGCAATAAGGACTAATGTGTAGGGGCTGGCATTGTGGCACAGCACGTAAAGCCACCGCCTGCAGTGCCAGCATCTCATATGGGTGATGGTTCGAGTCCCGGCTGTTCCTCTTCTGATCCAGCTCTCTGCTATGGCCTGGGAAAGCAGTGGAAGATGGCCCATATCCTTGGGCCACTGCACCCGTGTGGGAGACCCAGAAGAAGCTCCTGGCTCCTGGCTTCAGATCAGCACAACTGCGGCCATTGGGGCCATTTGGGGAGTGAGCCAGAGGATGGACAACCTCTCTCTCTCTGCCTCTCTTTCTCTCTGTGTGTAACTCTGACTTTCAAATAAATAAATAAATCTTAAAAAAAAAAAAAAAAGAACTAATGTGTGTATTAGTCTGCCATCATGAGCTCTAGCTCATTCCTGTGGGTCCCAGGCCATCCTTACTCTCTTTCAATCTACAGCATCTTCCCTTGCTGCCTGTCAACTTCAAGTTCCAGCATCTAATGCAAAGAAAATAGCCTAACAGAGACTGCTTGAACTAGCTTTCCTGACCACATGAGGTCAAATCTCTGTAAACACACAGACATACCCGCCCTTTCTAATGCTATCTTCCCTTTGAATCCTGACTGATATAAATACTATTCAATGTCACAAAATGTAACAAACATAATAAAATTATTTCCCAAATGTTCTATTAAGAGATCATCTTTGGGGTATAGTGTGGTGGTACAATGGGGTAAACCACCACCTGCCATGCTGGCATCCCTTCTCAGAGTGCTAATTCAAATCCCAGCTACTCAGCTTCCAATCCAGCTCCCTACTAATGCACCTGGGAAAGCAGTGGAAGATGGAGCAATTACTTAGACCCCTGCCACCCACATGGGGATCTAAAAGGAGTTCCAGGCTCCTTGGCTTCAGCCTCGCCCAGCCTCAACCTTTGCAGCCATTGGGAAGTTAACCAGCAGATGGAAGATCTTTCTCTCTTTCTCTCTTTCTGTCACTCTGCCTTTCAAATAATTTTTAAAGTGTTAAAAAATATTTCATCTTTGTTAAAGTAGCAAAAAGATTACAGACATCTTAGTCCTTACACTCTCACATTCACCATGCAGAAAAGACAGGTGTATTCCCTCAACCCAAGCTTTGCTCTGATTAGAACAACTCAAGTCACATATGACCTTGGTCAATCAGTGTGGCCTAAAGAGAACAATGTGCTGATTGGTTTAGGCCCCACCTAAAGACCATTTATAAACTGATCAC